ACACACACACACACACACACACACACACACACACACTGAATTCAAGTCCTTCATCAGATATATGTTTTGTAGATATTTTCTCCTGGCCTCGGCTTGGTTTTGTAAATTTTTATTTTCTTAAAAGTATCTTCAAAGAACAGATGGTTTTAATTTTAATGAAGTTCAATTTATCAAATTTTTCCCCTTGTAGTTTATGTTTTATTTATTTATTTATTTTTAAATATATCTTTATTGATTTCAGAGAGAGGAAAGGAGAGGGAGAGAGGGAGATAGAAACATCAATGATGGGAGAGTCATTGATCAAGCCTGCAACACTGGGCATATGCCCTGACTGGGAATCGAACCCTGATCGCCTGGATCCTAGGTCGATGCTCAACCACTGAGCCATGCCCAGCTGGGCTAGTTTATGTTTTTTATGTCTTATCTTAGAAATCTTTGTCTAACCCAAGGTCTCTTTATTAGTTTTCTGTTACTCCCATAACAAATTACCACCAATTTTTTGGCATAAGACAATGCAAATTTATTATCTAACAGTTCTATAGGTAAGAAGTATGGGTTCCTTGGCTGGTTTTTCTGCTCTGGTTTCTGACAAGGCCCAAACCAAGGTCTTGGTTGGCTGGGTTCTTATTGAGAATCTCAAGAAGAATCTACTTCCAAGTTTATTCAAGTTGTTAGAATCCTGTTCCTTGAGGTTGTAGGACTGAGATCTCCATTTCCTTGCAGGGGCTCCTGTGGCTCCTGGAGGCCTCTCACTAATCCTTGAACATGGGTCCCTAACTCTCAGAACTAGTAAAAGCACATGGAGTCCTTCTCATGATTGGAAACTAATTTTCCCTCTACCACAGATGGAGAAAGTTCTCTGTTTTTAAAGGGTCATAGGATTACATTAGGCCCACTTGGATATTCTAAGATACTTGCCATATTTTGAAGTCTGTAACATTAATTATATCTGCAAAGTCCCTTTTGCCAAATTTCATAACATATTCACAGGTTCTGGGGGTTAGAGAGTAGACATCTTTGGGAATTTTTTGCATACAGATATCCACTTGTTCTAGGATTGGATATCTAGAATAAGTTAGGTGTTTGATTTCTATCATGATGAGAAATTGTGATTTTTATAGTTTCAGAACAAACAGAACCATGACTCATGTTTCATAACTGTTATTGCTGATTTCATGGAAAGTCCTATCATATTTTTGGCAGTTACAAAAGATATTTTTCTCTGGGAATTTTTAGCAGTGGGGCATATGAAACTCCGTTTCAGTCCTTACCTTCCACACACACCCAGCATTCCAGATGGCCAAGGAATCCACAGCTTAGTGGCCAATTCTACACTTATGCTACTTAAAGGCAGAGCCAACAGATCATGGGCCAGCTCTTTGGCTGTTTACAATTTCCCACGTCTTGTCTGGATTGTCACTGAGGCTAGACCTTGGGCTAGACCGGGAATTTCCACCCTGGGAGCTGGAGGAGGGTTGGGGCAAAGAGTAAGGCAGGATGACGCCTTGCTGTGAATGTTTCTGAGAAAAACATCCCCCCTCTTTTTAAAAAAGGTTTCCCACAGTAAAAACTGTATCTAGGAAAATAAAGAACAGAAGGTAGACAGTTTCAGAAATTCCACCCTCACAGCTTCCCTTAGTCTCCAGTCATCTCACTCCCTGGGAGACAATCTCCTCTGGGCTGGGGCTGGGACACTTCTCTTTGGGGATCCCCCTGCCTGACCTTAGCCAGGGTCATTGATTCTGGTCAGCGTGTCAGAAGCTGGTCACCTGTTCTTTATCCCGGCCAAAGCATGAAGCATGCTGGGACCTCAGCTCCACGGACACAGATGGGCAGGGTGGCAAGGGAGGACCTGGGACCACTCAGGTCAAGGGCAAGGAACTCACTTATCTCAGGGAACCGTGATGACTTAGCTTTATGGAGCCGCCACTGTGTGCCAGGCACTTTGCATATGTACTTTATCCCCTGAAAAGCTGAACAGTACTCAAAGGGAGGGGCGTTGTTATACTAGGGGCGCCCCTTTCCCCCACCTCCAGTCTCCCCTCCTCACTGGGTCCCTAGAAGTTGGGTGTCCCCAATGCTTGTCTCAAAGTTTGACTATGGCTGCTTCACTGCCACCTTGGGGTCCCCGGTGCTCAGCTCCAGGCCCCTCCTGTCTTCACTTTTTGTTTCTCTATTTGGCAGGAAAGCGTTTCGATCTGGCCCGCCAGTGGTCTGGCTTCGGTGCTGTTTACAACTGCTCGCAGCCCCCGTATAACAGGAGCGCCTGCAGCCAGCCCAGGGTGATTTCACATTTAAATAGAAAACCAGCCCACCATCCAAAAAAAAGCTGCCGCACGGATCTCAGGGAAACATCTCAAGTCCCTCAGGACTGACCCCGATCAAGGTATCTCGAAGATGCCCTCCACTCGCTCACCTGGGAAGCCCTGTGGCAGCTGCTCAGTCACCGACACCGGGCGCACGAGGCGGTGTGAGCTGGAACCGGGTCATCACACAGCTCTGGCTGCCCTCGGCCGGCCCAGCCGGGAAGGCCTGGCGCGAGCTCCTGGTGGACGCTCAGCCGGGCCGCGGGGAGCGCGGCTGCGCCTTCAGAAGCCCTCACCACTCTGCCCCTTCCAGCGCCCGCGGTTTTACTCCCGCTGCCCGTGAGTCTCTGGAGGGGGCCCAGTGCCCTCTGGCGGTGCGACGGCGCTGCGGTCGCCTGCACTGGTGCCGCGTGCAGCTGCTGAGCCCGGCCTGGCGCCTGGGAAAGCACCTGAGCCCGGCGGGACTGAGCCCAGGCGCCGGCCGCCAAGGAAGCCCACCCCGCGCGAGGGCGGGTGCACTGGCCAGGAGACCGTGCCTTCCCGGCTCCTAAAAATGAGTTTTCCGAGGCTGAATTCTGGTGGCAGCCGGAGGGGAGAGTATGTTTTTACATAGCATTCCTCCAGCCGCTTTTCCGCAAAGCTTTTCTTTGTTCCGTTTTTGAGGCTTTCGTGTTGCCGAGCTCCGGGGAGCCAGCCTGGAGTAGTTTCTAATCTCCCGCGTCACAGCCTGGCCGGAGGCAGGCCCGGCAGCAGCCCCGCCGGCGGCGGAGGGAGGGCATGAAACCCAGCTGGACCAGCAGAGAGGGAGCTGGGTGCAGGACTGCAAGGGGTCTCGCGGGGAGGCAATGGCACCGTGTGCAGGGCTGTCCCTGCCACTGCGTGGAGGGTCTTTAATGTCCAAGGAGGTGTGTGCCGACGCTGGGCGGGCCTGGGCAGCGGGGTCAGAAAGGTAGCCGGAGCCTACAGCTCAGAGGGGTTGGCTGAGCTAAGCAGGATGCACCGAACCCTGCTCTTGGGGTGGAAATAGTTTGAAAACCAGGAGAGCGGTGCAGCAACCAAAGGGACCCAAAGGGAGAGCTGGGCCCAGAGAGAGGGGTCTTGGTTGCCATGGCAACCAGACTGCTGGCGGCTGAAACCTCACACTTGAAAGAAATAAATGATTCTTTGGTGGGGTTGTGTGTGTGTGTGTGTGTGTGTGTAACAGAGCAACCCAGACCCATGACAGGGATGGGGGAGAGGGGGAGAGAGTTAATTCAGCCTATCAGCGCCAGAGTGAAAGAAAGGGTCACAATGGAGGCAAGATTATGTAAAAGACAGCAATTCTGCCCACTGGGAACCAGTAAGGAAGGGGACCTTTTATCATAATATGCTAGGAACAGAAACCTTCAGTTCACCCCTTAGAAGGATTTAGAAATCCGAAGTCTATCCCGATTGAATGACCGTTTCTAGGAGCCACCATTCCCGCCCGAAATGACACCAGAAGTGGCCGTCTTTATGGCCATATTTGCCGTCTTCCCACACAATATTTCCTTACATGCTTTTCTTACGTGCTCAAACTGCCTCCGCCCTTTTCCCGATGGCAGGTGAAGTCAGTCCATTCTGCAGTTCACATTTCTGTGGAAACACTTGGAAGGAGGAGCTAAGGCGATGTCTACACATTTTCTGTTTATCCGTCGGTGGCACTAGGTACCTACTTGGAAACTCCGCCACACTCTCCTCGCAGTTCCTCACCAGGAACCTGGGAGACCCTGTTGGACAGTTTCTGCCTTGCTCTGGGGGGAGGACTCTGAGGGTGTCACTCATGCTTCGTGTTCGTCAGTGTGGGCTGCATAACAAACCCCACAGGCGGGGGGCTTCAGCAGCAGACCAGGGGGTCAGCCGACTCAGTTCCCGGTGGGAGCGCTCTGCAGGCTTGCAGATGGCCACCTGCTTGCTGCATCCTTCCATGGCCTTCCCTCGGTGCCTGTGTGGAAAGACATCTCTGCTGTCTCTTTCCTCTTTTATAAGGGCACGAATTTCATCTGCTTAAGGCCTTACCTTTTTGACCTCATTGACCTCTAAATGTCTTCTTATAGGCCCTCTCTCCAAATACAGTCATGCTGGGGATTAGGGCTTCAACATATAAATTTTGGGGGAACACAATTCAGTCCATAACAATCCTCCTTGACACTAAGTAAGAATGAGACATCAGAAATACAGATCAGGACAACTTTGTAAGTTGCAATGACTTTTTCTATTTTTGTGTTGAGGAAAGAAAAGTATTGTGATAAAAAGTTTATATCCTTTGAGGCTTGGTTAATAGATAGCAATTCACATTATTAAAATGCTGAAAAATCATTCAGTTTACAATATCGACCATAGAATTACAGTTGTTTTAAGTTAATATGTTTAAGTTTCATACAATGATCTAGGAGGAGAAGTACTTTCTGGAACTTTTTTCTTCTGTTTTAATGATGCATAGGGAGAACACAGAACAGATAGTCAGCATATGGATAATAGATGTTCTTGGAAGTGAGCCCAGGATAAATGGATCAGGAAGATTCAATGGAGCTGAAGAAAGGACTAGGTATGTATATTGAGAGGGTTCAGTGTGCCAGGCAAGGTCAATGATAAGAATATTACATTGAATCCTATTTTAGTCAAAAATAACTAAGTACCTCTGGCCAATGTGGTCGCTGGTCAGGGCATGTGCCCAGGTTGTTGGTTCAATCTCAAGTCTATTGCGTGCAGGAGGCAACCGATCAATGTTTCTCTCTCTCTCCTGCCCTCTTCCTTCCTCTCTCTTTCTAAAATCAATAATTAAACATATTTAAATTTTTTATTAAATACATTGCCACAGAGATAAGTCTCATATGTGTCCACACACTAACAGAGACAGAATTTTGGCTGAACTCAGACTTCAGGGCTATAGAACAAAATGCCCCAAGGCAGTAAAACAAAGTCTAAGCCAATTTTGAAGATCAGAAGTTGTGATAAGATATATATATTGTAGCACTATAAGTGGTTAATTTATGAAAACAATAAATGGCATTCTGAGATATGAAGAGACTCAGAAAGCATACCACCCATGTGCTCTTCTTTTAAAATGACTTAAAGGTATAGTCAGTTGACTGAGAGATGGAGCAAAGAAGACATATGGAGATGTCATGCAAGAAAAAAACAGTGGGGAAACCTGAACAGCAAAACCAGAAATACATCAATATTGTTTCCATGACTATGGATTATCATATAACACAAAATTTTAATTTTTGTTTTTTAGTTATTTTATATGATATATTACCAAACAAATAATTGATGTAATGTAAAAATAACAAAATAATGATATATTTTTTTTATTCTTACAGATTTATTTTTGTGTATACATTTGCTTAACAATCACTGAATTTCTAGGCCAGGTTCAGGTAATTGAAGAGCCTTTATAAGTAGTTCATATTGGCTAGAAGTAAGGCATGCTGAAAACCCAGTCTGGAGCAAAATGGGAATAATGGTTTACGTAATATAATTAAATAAAATTAAAATAATTAATTAGAGTAAAATATAAACATTTTATTAATAATAATTCATGTCCATATTATAATACAGCAGATAGACAGGAATTAGGAAGCTGAAGGTATAAAAGTGACAGACACCTTGGTTTAAACATGTAGCACATTAATAATATTTTATTTTTGGCTCTGATATTTAGAACATAAGTTAAAATGCACTTGGGAAACTTTTGGGTAAGCATTAGAAGAATTAAAAACTGTTACAATGTCTCCAGAATAGGAGGTAAAAACAAAGAAATATAGGCAAAAATAATATGAAAGTGTTCAAAAGCGAAAGAATAAAATAATGCTAAAATAAGGTCAACTATAAAAAACGAATGCAATAGATTACTTCTTAGAAAAATATAAACGTGGAACTGATTCAAAAAGCAATAGAATATCTAAATAGTCTAATTGCCATGAAAAAGCAGAGAAAATAGTCACTACTGCCTCCCTAAAGAACTCTAGGCACTATAATTTTATGAATTTAAAACACTATAAACTATTCCAGAACATATAAAATGGTAGAAAGTTTTATGAGCTATCTTACCAAGCAAGGATAACCCTATGCCTGCCTATGGCAAAATCCAAAGACTTACAGACTAACCTCATTTACAAATACAAATCAAAATCCTAAAAATTTACTCTCGACGATGGTATATTAAACATGTAACAAAAACAAAAATAAATTCCACACAAATTTAGAATTCAACTTAATAAATTTTTCACAGTGGTATGAGAGTAGAAAAGCCCCAGAATATGAAAAAATGTTATAGGTCAAGGGCCCCAGGTTCTCCATGAGTAGATGGCAAAGGAAAACGTTGGCAAACGTACAGAATGAAAGGGCCTTAAGAGACAGAGGAGCCAAATGCAGTGTGTGGAAGCCGGCTGAACCTTGATGCAAAGAAATCAATGTAAAGGGTTTATAAGAAGCAGGGAGAATGTAAGCTATGATGGGCATTTAATGGTATTAAGGACGTAGTCAACTTTTCAGGTGCAAGGTATAATTTTTTCACTTCAAAAAGAACCACTAAAAGGAGGTGGGGGGGTGATGATGACACGAGGGGCTTGCGTTTGCGTCAAACCGGTCACACCCCAGGCCCACTGGCCAGCTAAGCATGACCAGGGTCGCGTCCTCTGGATCCCGACGTAGAGGCGCCTCGGTCCTTCCAGGACGGATCAAGGGGGAGCCTGGAAACTGTCCCCAGTGGCTTCATGGAAAATAAGCACCTCTTTGACACCCTTTTCAAATTTGGCCTCTAAATCTAGTCCTGCCTGACCGAAGTCAGAAGCCTGAAAGAGAAAAAAAGCAAAGGCGCAGGTGTCTAAGGACGGAGGACAGGACCATTAAATCACTCCTGCGTCTTAGGGACCCCTCCCTCCCTCCCTCCCCCAGCTCTCAGGCAGGGTGGGGGTCGGGGTGCTGCTGAAATGGATGAGACTCCGCCTGGCTGTTAACTTGGGCCTGCAGGCGATCTGCACGGAAGAGCTGACTCTGGTCACTGCGAAGCCCGAGGTTGGTGTCACGTAGGTAAAGTAAAAGCATTTCTTGGCAGCCAGCTCTTTAAAGGAAGGATGACCCTCCTGTTCTCCAAAGCAGAGACTGCCAGGCGTGGGGTGGGGGCTCCCTGGGTCGACACTGCTACCTCCAGCTCCACTTGTGGACACAGTTTGTGGCTTGTGGACATGCCGGCTTGTGGCATGGAGGAGGGAGGGAGGCTGGGTGAAGATAGAATCTTCCTCAGCCAGCTCCCCAAAAATGTCCTTACAAGTGAGAGTAAAAACCAGGAGAAACTCAAGAAACCAAAGCTGAAAATGTCTTGGATTGCAAAAGAGCTCAACTAACTGTCTCTCCCTACAAAGGAAGGTGAAGACAAGAGCTGAGGACAATCTCGGATGATGTTTGAGTCCACTGGTAAATCAAGTGTCACAAGTCCAAGCTCGGGCACCCTGCAAGTTTCATTGGTTTCCTTTTGTTTAAGGAATTACTGTATTTCAGCATTCCTAGGGCATGAGGAACAGTGGAAGCGTGCATTGCCCTTCTCAGTCTGCACAAGGAGGCGGGATAAAGTTGACTGTCTCACTGGGAGCAGCCTGCCAACCAGGCAGTTCACAAGGATGCGTCCCTGGCCTGCGTGTGGCTCTTTTTGACACCCACCCCTGGAATCCTTGTCTTCTGAGCCCTCTTTAGGAAGAGACTGGGTATTGTTCTTGCAAAGTTCTGTCACCCCGGAAATTAGGGGAAAGTAGAAAGGGCGTGAGAAGGAAGCAGGACAGGCTCTTTACCTTGTAAAATGTTTTATGGTTGCGAAAGATCAGGCGCATGTCCCGAACGAACCATGCCACTGTATACACTTTCTCAGCCAGCCTTTCCTTCACCAGGTCCAGCCACATGGCTTCCCTAAAGGGCTCAGCATAATCCCGAATCTAGGGACAAAGCCACCAGAGGGGTGACGTTAGCACAGCCAGCATGACTGGCTGGGTCCAACTTAAACACGAGACCAGTCTTTATTCCCGGGGAAATAATGGTAAGACCACCTGGCATCTACATGCCAGGCTCTGTTCTGAGCCCTGCCACTATAATAACACGTGGTCACAACAACAACCCTATGAGATAGACACTATAATTACTCCCATTTTACAGATGAGGAAACCGAGGGAGGGAGAGAGGTTAAGTAACCTACCCCACATGTCCCAGCAAAAAGTGGTAGAGCTGGGACTTGAACCCATGGTTGGGCTCCTGAGTTTGAGCCCTTAATTGGTAAGCTCTCCTTAAGAAAGACTCTGCCCCCTAAGGGAAGGTAAAACTAGGACCCAAGGGAGGTGAAGCTGGCACGGTAGGTGGACTTGGTCCCGCTCCAGCTACTGCAGCTAAATGTCCTGCTCCCCGCAGACTCATACTCCAAGTTCCTAGAATGAGTTTTAGGTCAGAGATGGCTGGAAGATGAGAATCATCGAATGTGACTTACGTTACGTGGGGTCTTCGCAAAGAAGGCGCTTTGTGGGTGACAGTAGGCCTTCAAGAGGAGGAACTCACATTTCTGTAAAATGTCAAGAGGGCTTTAAAGGGAAATGCAGCTGGGAGACGCACAGCGGGCCTGTGTCCAGACACGCACCAGGAGCATCCAGATAATTGGCCCTCCGACAGCATCTGGCAAAGGCCCTGAGATGGGCTGAATTCTGTTCCAACTGCATATTTGGGCACTGAATTGCCATTCTCTGAAATGAGACACCCTTAGGTGCCCCTCCTCTGAGCCTGCGACTGTTGACTTCTCGCATGTGAGCAGAAAAGAGAGACCTTGGGGTTTGAATTTGACTCACCAGCTGCTCCTCGGGCCCCATCTGCCTCGCCAGGACCTCAGATTCCCTGAGACACTGCTGACTTCTTGAGGACGCCTTCATCCTGCAGAAGGTGCAACTCCACGGGCTCCTGAGAGGTCGGGCACGCGTGAGCAAGGCAAAGCCCCAGAAACAGCCACTGTTCCTATGGCTGCCACTGTCCTGCTTTCAGGAACGGCCAGTGGGCACAGCCGGGGGATGAGGGGGACGCTCTCCAGTCTCCAAGCCCCCCAGGCGGTATCAGAATGAGTGGTGGGCTCTCCTTTTCCTGTCTCAGCTGCTGGGAGCATGAGGAGCCCTGCCCACCAGGGCTCTGAGTGCCAGAGACTGGGCCTTAACCCCTGGGGACCTGGGGCCCCCATCGGCCCATTGAGAATGTAGCAGAATGAGGGAACCAGGCCGTGTTTCCTGCCTTTTCTGAGTAAGCACCGAACTCAGACAACCGGCATTTCCGGTCCTCACCCCTTGGACAGGAGCCTGTGCAGCAAACCTAGGAGAGGCCATCTCCCTGGGGCAGTGACAGCCTAGGGCCAAGGTGGCCCAGCCGCAGACTCGCAGACACAGGCTGTCACTGACACCAGAGGGAGCATGGGCTGTGCCGGATCGGGCCCACCATGCCCACGGGGCCTGCTCTTCCACTGGGAGCTGGGCCAGAGGCCGAGCTGGGACCAGGGTGTGGTGAGGAGGCTTCGTCTCACTAACCTCTCAGCCTCCGTGAGCGGGATGTGACAGTCCTGGTGAAAGGCTCGCGGACAGGTGTCGCAGCAGAGCAGCTGGCCCCCTCTACAGCACACCTCGCACCCATCCGAGCTTTCCCGCTGGAAGAGGAGACAACGCGGGCACCGCTGGGTCAGCAGGACCCGCTGGGCACTGACACTGCGGGGCCTGGGACACCGCCCTCGCTGTCCCAGAAGGGACTGCAAGAGCATGGAAGTCCTTCCTACACAGCCTGGCCTGAGGACCGGGGCCTCAGCGCGGTCAGGGTGCTGGTTAGAAACACAGGCCTCCTGGGGCAGAGCCTGCATTCTGCCTGGATCCCAGGGGCCTTGTCTGCGAAACGTGAGAAAACACAGCTCTGGGCAACTCCCTCATTTCACAAGCCTGGGAAGATGAAATGCTTGAGTACCTGACTGGCACTCGGGCCATACCTGGGGTCCGAGCTGTTCCTGCCTGCTAGGTGCCATCCCAGGCAAGCATGGGGATGGCCCAGAAGGGTCCCTAATGTTCTGGCTGACAGACGGAAGGACACACACAAAGACAGAGCTGCTGCAAAATGGTCGTTTTGTGGGCTTGAGAACTCAAGGTCTTTCTCATGGCCTTGAAATAGGACCCAGTAAATTCTGCAAGTGATTTAGGTGAGGACTCATTTTCACTGCTGGGTAAAGCTCTGGTTCTGCTCCCGGCCCCCGGACAGACAGCAGGGACTCAACATGGATAAGAGAACACTTTTTCTGCGCTCAGAAGCCACAAAACACCTTTGCAGTATTGGCATCAGGAGTCTTGATGGTACACACGTACAGTTACACACCAGTGGGGCTGGGTCACTGTGGAGCAATAGTGATGTATGGGGTGACAAGTCTCAGGAAAGGCCTGCGTTAGCCCGTTTGAAGTCAGAACTAGACTTCGTTCTCATAACCCAGCGTGGCTCCTGCTAGGTGGGACTGGCAGGTCGGTTCAGTGTGCCCCGGCTATCATGTACTGACAGGTGGCATTATGAGTAAGAAGAAGCTATAATGCTGGGGCCATGGATTAATGATCTGGCTTTTAAATATCTTTATTGTGTGTGTGTTTTCTGATTACAAAAGTAATAAGTGGTCATTTAAAAAATTCCACATGTACATAAATGTATAATATGGAAGGCAAATTTGCCCTGTAATCCTTTCCCCAAATAACTAGTTCTTTCAGATTTTTTAAAGTCATAGACCTACATATTCACATAAACAAAACTGGGCTCCTTCTACACATAGTATCTACCCGTATGAGCTTCCAAAAGCTTTCCTGACCTCAAAACCCTTGTGTGGTTTTCCATTGGCTGAAGGATAAATCTTTACTTATGAATCCATGCATTTAAAAAAAAAAATTCTGTAGATGTCGTAGGTTATTTTATATACTGATGGACAATTTTAGTCTTCCCTGATATTTTGCTGTTACAAGGAGCATCCCTGTACGCATCAAGGTGTTTCAAATCAGAATGGAAAAGACAGTTTATACAAAAAATGTCACTGGGGGACCACTGTCTTACAAACGTCTAAGGGAGCCAGCCAAGGGTCAAGCTGGCCTCCAGGGCAAGATGGGAGTGGCACCGTGGCCTCTCCTGGAGGCTCAGGTCTAATGGGAAGCCCAGGAATGGGACTTGTGTCTGGAGGACGCATCTAAGCAAGTAAAGAAGCTGAGGACAAGCAGCCGGCACAGCCAGTGGGCTGCCATTTCCACCCCGCGCAGGCTCTGCAGACACAAAGCTTAGTTCAAACGCATCCTTCCACGCTGGGGCTCTCGCTAAAGAGCTCGCTGAACTGGGGTGGCTCGGTGTTCAACCAAGGGCCCCGAGCTTGCCCTTTCTGTTCCTGTCTATTTCAACACCGCGTTTACTTTTCAAACCAGGGCACACGATTTCTGAGACCCTGGGTTTGCCACCATCCAAACAGCCAGCCCTTTGTTTACAACACACAGACATCACCAGCTTTTGACCTCATCTTTATTTTAAAGAGTTATTTGCTTCCCTATCTCAAGTCAGCTACGAAAATAACAGCAGCATGTACAGGCACTGAGCGCTAAAGCAGGCAGCGTGGAGAAGGCACAGAGTCTAAGTGTGGTGGTCACTCGGGACTCGGAAGCTCGAAGACTCGAGGGTGAGCCTTTGGGCATGAAAAGTCAGCAACATGGTGACTGAGAATGTGGCAGACATTCACTTGCTATTTACTCTCTCTTGAGACTTATTCTTGGAGGGCAAAACAAAAGTCCTTTCTGAAAGAGAGAAAAGGTCAATGAATTAGGTTATGCTGGGGGCCTTTCTTTGTAATTATCAAAGTTCCCGCTTCCTAGTGAATATTTGTACCTGGACATCCTACTGGGTCTCAAACCCAGGGTGTCTAAAAGAAAAGCGAGCTCCTTCCTCCAGTCAGTTCTTCTGGACTTGATAAAATCATTTTCACCCTGCTACTCAAGCCTAAGGCCTGTCGGTTCTTTTCTCTCAGCCCCTTCCCCACCCACTCCTTTTAGTTTGCATTCCTTCCTCTCTAAATAAAATCTATGGTTTCACCCCAGTGGTAATTTTTGAGTGTAACTTAGAGGCTCTGTGTTGGGATCGCCAGAACCCTAGCGTGTTGCTCACAGGACGGAACAGAGTGCTGGGAAGTGCAGAGGAGACTGACCACGGACAGGATGGCCTGGAGACACTGCACCGAGGGGTCCAGATGCAACAGGGGCTTGGGGAGGCGTTTGGCGGGTGGAGGACACCGGGAAGCTATGGCTGAGGTCTATGTTTTCATCCGGTTTCCTTCTAGCCCACCCTACCTAATACCACCTGGCGCAGCTTCCTATATCCCCCCTGACCTGAAAACCCTTTGCTTGTACTCCAAGGTCTCCACCATGAGCACCAACCTGTGTCTGTAACTTTATCTCCCGCATCTTCTTTTCTGCAAAGGCTTACCTCTTTCTCAATCATGCCGTGGAACCCTAATGGGAAGCTTTTCCCACTTTTGCTATTGACATTTCCTCCATCCTTCGAGGAATTAAACCCGCCACCTATCTGCCCCTGGTCCTTGCAGTACCTCCATCAGCTGTTGTAGGGAGTTTCCTCCGCAACGCACGTTCCGCTTCCAGTCCTTTGACCTTGACCCCTTTCCTTTAACTTCAAATTGTCTTGGCGTGAACCAAGCTCCCTTCTCGTTCTGAATGCACTTCTCCCAGGATCCTGTAGGAGAAAGCCCATTCCAGGATCCATTTCCATCCTCTGAACTCACCCTACACCTCCAACCACCACCACCACCCCACCCCGGATCGGGGTGTTCTATCTTCCTGGGCTCAGGGAGGCTCCCTGGGAGGCAGGACCCGTAGCAGGGAGTCTGGGTCCCTCCTCTCTCAGATGGAAGGAAGCCCTAAAACCTGCCTGAGTGGTGAGGGGCTGGGGGAGAATTTGCATTTTATGTGACACCTACACCTTTGTGGCAAGGACATGGTGATCAGTGTCACAGGGTCCATGGTTGGATGACTCCTGTGGGGGAGTGCTATGGCCTGGACACCAGGTGTACCACGACATGGAAAACTTTGAAAATTCCTTCTTAGCAAATACTTTTTTTTTTTTCTTCTGCAGCCTCGCTCTCAGGGTCCATTTCCTGAACAATCACACACCTGGGTGCGTTCCTCCCTCCTAGTGACTCCTTCGTCCAGGAGTCCCAAAGAGCAGAAGATTAAGGAACTCACCTTTCTTCATTTTCTCCGTAAATAAAGTGCCCTTCTCACTACCACAGGTAACAGGGAGTTCAGGAGACTGGAAGTCCACAGTTTCGTCTTTAGGTTTTCCTGAAGGTGGAAGAGCACAGTGCACTACTCAGTCCTCATGCCACCTCCCTCATGAAGCCCCCTTCCCAAGGGCCTGAGCAGCACCCCTCCTTTACCTGGTGCAGGCAGCTCACTGCGCCATGGGGACCTTGTGTCCCCAGTATTTCCAAAACAACCACCCTGTCCCCAAGGGAGGGAGACAGCTTTCTGATGTGTTCCCCCAAATCTTGTGTTTGGCTCAGCCTTCCCCACTCATCTCAGCAAACAGGCCTTCAAGGGCAGAACCCTGAGGGGAGGCCGGCCCGGAGCTCTCCACCCTGGATTAGATCACCATGGGTAAGGGATGGCCAACAGGAGGAGCCTGCTACAAAAGCGAGCAATTGAAGAACAGAGAGAGTTCGTGGAAACGGAAAGCCCCGTGGAGGAAATGAAAAGAAAAGCCTAACAGAGACAAGGAAGAGCAGAGTGGGCAAAAACCCAGCTAGTGATGGCGAAGGCTAACTCCAGGAATTCTCGCAGAACATGGGAAAAGGGCACTAGGTGAAAATTATATGGAAAGACACAGCCTGGGGAAAGATCTGGGAGCTTTATGATCAGCACACACATTGTACTGCTCATTTCCACAGTAATCTGTGAAACAGGGAAGGCAGCCAAGGGTCCCCATTTTATAGATCTGGAGAGAATTCCTGGCGGTCATCACAGTTCACGAGGGGCAGCCGGCACTGGGATCCGGACGTGCCGTCCCTAGTCTAGTGCTCTTCCCGTGCCATCAGAAGGGCTCCCTGTTATATAAGTGATACCAGCACAGAGCCACTGCGTTAACTCAGACGGCAGAGCCAGCGGGAGATGACAAGGAGGCTCGAGAAGCTGAGGCTGGACAGCTGTCAGCCTTTGCCTGGATTCTTGCCTACTCTTGTGTTTTCTAAAACGACAGGGGCATTTTTTTTTTTTTAGTGTAAAAAACAAAGGACTTGACATTTGAACACCTAAGTTGATTTTAGCTCACACAAGTCTTTTCTGTTCTAATCGACTGTGTAAAATGAGCCGAATCGTACAAATAAGAGGGTTAAACGGCAAACTGCACCGCCAAGCGCTCTGACCATTGCAAAGTGATGCGCACACTCGTTGCTGCCAGGGCCTCTGCGTACAGCTGTGTGGCTTGAGCACTGAGCAGGGATTCCACCCCGAGGGGCTGTGATTTGCATCCCGGCGACTCCATCTGTACACTTCCTACCACAACCTTCCAGCAGGGGGCACAAAAGGCCACGGCTTGGGCATCAGCTCTGGCGGACGCAGGGGTGAGGAGGGAGCACAGTTTTCTAGTTCACACAGGTGCGGCACGTGGCTCCGTGGAGGCCCTGGTGCTGGCGCTCATTTGGGATGAGGGAGGACCAGCGAGGTTCTGATGACGTGACAGTTATTTAAGCATAAAATGTGCAAGGCAGAGAGGGGACAGAGCGAGACTGACCCATTTACTGACTTCATTTGACTTTCCCACAGTGAACAGGACGTACACAGACCCTTAATTACAGCTGTGATAAGTGCCACAGAGTAAAAATACAGGAAGCCCTACCCCTGCCTGCGGGGCAGAGAATGCTCTGTCCCAGGTGAGGCCTGAAAGTGTGTAGCAAAGAGAGGGATGAGGAAGCTTGTGTGTGTGTGTGTGTGTGTGTCTGTGTTGTGTGCGCGTGTGTGTTGGGGGGCACACCAAGCAGGCCCTGAGCGGGAGGGAGGGTGAAGATTCAGTGTCAAAGGGACCTATGGGCTGAGAATTCAGGCTGGTGGTGACCACGGGGTGTGGATAGGAATTGGATTATGGGAGTGGATTATGTTCTGTTTCTTGGCGAGGCGCTGGGTACACGTGGGCTCTTGCCCTCTGTTAGTTCCTCAGGCGGCACACTTACGGTGCCTGCATCTGTCCGTAAGCGCGTTGTACCCGTGCCACCCAGCACGTGGCCTGGGATGAGACAGGGGCTTGACAGGGACGCTGAGGAGGTCCGGCCACGGAAACTGTGTTCTGTGTCACAGCTGATTCACAGGCTCTGTACTTTTGCAGACCTGCAACGCACAGGCTCGTAGGCGGTACCAGCCTGAAGACCCCACCTGCTCTACTTTAATTATAAGTTAATGGGGCAAAAAAGGCCACTGTGGCTCGTGCCAAAGAGGAAGGAGAGAGCGATAAGAGAGAACGCTGAGTAAGTTATAAAAGCAGAAGAAAAGTGAGCGCAGGGAGAGGAGGAGGGGCAGGGGGAGGAGAGGACAGTGACCCCAGGAGGCACAGGTCAGAGGGGCAGAAGTGAGCCCAGACCTGCGCCCTGACCAACTCAGGAAGAGAAGGCTTGTCCCACCAAAAATGGGGACCCTCTCGGGATTCGCTCGGGCGAGTGTTCTCACCAACTCCTAGGATGAAGGAGGCAGGCGTTTGTATTAGAACTCGACCCATGGGCTTGGTCAGCATCCCTGGTCATCCCTGGGCCCTTAGGGCTCTGTGCAGCATGCCTGCC